GGTCACTTCCGGCGTCATCCTCAGCTTTCGCCCCCCTTTGGTGTCAAACCTGCGCCTCTGGGCTATGCGTTGGCTGTACTGATGTAAGTTTGCCTGCTGTCAGTGGTTTACTTTAAGGGTCCACGAAGGTGTGACGGCTCGATAGTAGAGCTGTGAAATGTAAACGGCTTCACTGAGCTCGATGCTTCAGTTTGAGGGTAAATCTGTGAACACGGAGCTCGTGAAGGATGTCGCGAGTCTGACAGCAGGTTGGGAGGTCAGTAGAAACCAGACCTGTCCTGGTGTAACAGCGTCTCAGACACGAGGCACATCCGGCTCTTTAAGAATCTAAAAGCTGGATGATGTCACACATTAAAGCTGAAAGTTGAGCAAAAACAACATTTTGTTGTACTTGTTCCTGTTACTATTATATCCAAACTGTGTGACGCTGTTCTCGCTCATTGTCGCTCTGATATCATATCCGTGTAATGCAGTGACTGTTACAGAGGAGAAAACCATCTTCCACGTCGAACAAGATAAACCAGATTAGAACGTGCTGCTGTTTTATTCTGATAAGTATGCTGACAGCACGCTGCACTCCTCCCTGCCTGAACCTGAAATGTGTTACTTAAAATATAAAACGAATAAACTACCAGTTAAAGTATTTACTGTTGGCCAATCAAAAGTCAAAGGAATCATTCTGTTTCCTTATCTGTGTTTCATGGATCGATATCGGTGCTGCATCATGTCTGTGCCATCACATGTTTGTATTAAAGCAGTGTGAGAATGGTACTAATGGAAGATGACGGTGGTGTGGTATCTGAACAGCTGGTGGAGCCTCCACTTGTCTAAAATTGTGGCTTTAAAGTCAGAAAGCGATTTGAGGTCACATGTTTGCTCCTGATTCGTGTCAGCGAAAGTTTCTATTCGTCCTCTCACTGACACAGATGCAGAACAGTAATAGTCACCTGAGACGATTTCCCGGCAGCGTTACACCAGCGGCAGGCTGAGCTGCCGATGCCGGCAGGATGGATCCATGTTTCCATGGTTGCTCTGACCTCGAGACTGATCATACCCGGAAACGTTTTTCCTTCTTGTGTTTTAGCTTTAGTGAGACTGAAAACTGTAGCCTCGGTGTCTTGTTCGTTCTGACAGCGGTGGTACCCGCTGTGGTCTTCTGCTTCAGGCTTTAGCATGCCGCCCACTCAGAGATGCTCTTCTGATCACTTTGGATGTGACGAGCAGCGATTTTAGTTACTGCTGTCGTCCTGTCTCAGAGTTCTGCCGTTCTCCTCTGACAAAAAGAAGGTACTTCCTCTCAGAGAACTGCTGCTCTCCGGATAGTTTCTCTTTTTCAGACCTCCTTTGTAGGGCTGGGCCATATCATACCGTTCACGGTAACACCGGTATAATGTTAGGCAATGATAAGAAAATGACATATCGTGATAGAATATGAGGAAAAGGCGCATGTGCAGTGTTTTCATAAACACATGGCAGAAAAAGCACAGCGGTGATGGAGAATGAGAAGAGTGAAAGCAGATCGCTGAATGAAACGGATGAACCAGAACTGGTTTGTAAAAATGCTGCAGCTTCAGTGGTGGAGCTGGTTTAGCTTTCGTCCGGCACTCAAAAGTCTGTCAAAAAATGTTTCAGTACGACTTTGCTAAGCTGCGAAGCCGCACCGCTTGATGGACTGTCGGAGCATTACGGCTATCGTAGGCTGAGCCTCGCGGAGTGATACGTACCGTGCTTCAACATGACGTTACCGTATTGTTTGTGTATAAGGACCCAAAATGGCAGCTGTTAAGAGACTTGCGCATGAAGCGGATTTTAAACTCAAGGCTCTCGGTCATGCAGTAGAACATGGGAACAGAGCAGCTGTGAGAGAATTCAGCATTAATGAGTCAATGGTACAAAAGTGAAGAATGAGTTGAGTCAAATTAGACGTATCTGACTGTTTTTTACTGCAGTTCCATGTTTCAAAGCTCCTCTTTTTACCTTTTGTGGTTATTATACATGGTTATGCTCAGCATATGTCAGCCCATTTGCCTTTTGGTTAAACTGTCAGCAAGGAATTTGCATTTGCACTGTTAAAATGTTATATATACACATAAAAACAGCTGCTTGTTTAAGTGAAAATACATTGATGGGTTTTTTTGCACTCGTAAAGTTGTGGAGTTATAAAGTATTTTGTCTCGCATCAATTATATCGTCCGTTATATCGTGATCGCAAATTTTCAAATGTACATCGTTGTAAGTATTTTTGGTCATATCGCCCTGCCCTACTTCTTTGTAAACTCTGAGATGTCTGTGTGGGAAAAACCAGCCAATCAGCAGTTTCTGAAATAGGACACTAAAAGTTTCTTAAATCACTTTTCTTCCTCAATTTTCTGATGCTCAGTTTGACCCCCGGCTGATTGTCGTCACCATCTCTACATGCATAAATACACTGAGCTGCTGCCATGTCATTGGCTGATTAGAGATTAGTCTTAATGAGTGAGTGTAGACCACAGCTTAGTACATCTGCTATTGTTTGATATCCATCAGCTGTGGGCAGAAACTGAGTGAGTGAGATCACAGATGAAGGCGGAGAAAACGAGCGTCGTCCAAACGGTGTCTGGACTCGGCGTCAGAGGGAGGGTGAGGAGCTTGGTTATTCAGGAGCGTCTCAGAGCTCCTCAAGGAGCAAGTGGAGATATTCGGGCATCTGGCCAGGATGGCTCCTGGGTGAGGTGTTCCAGGCATGTCCTACCAGGAGAAGCCTCCAGGGCAGACTTGGGGCACACTGGAGAGATTACGTCTCAGATGGCTTGGAATGAGTTGGAGAAGCTGGCTGGGAAGAGGGAGGCCCCCGTGATCCGGAGCCTGGTCAGGAAATAGGTGGAACCAGTAATAGGTTTTTGAGTTTCAGTAGAGATCTGTAAGCAGTGATGGGGAAAAATTCCCCCAGGTATTAAAATGCT